TCTTCGTTAGTCAACGGATCATAGTATCCTACCCGGACACAGATCAGTGTCTCGTTCTTATTAATCGACTATGGTGAACCCGTAATAGTTTCGAGCATAGCAAGTGATGAGCTTCACACGATTGACTGACATATTTTCAGCATAGTCTAAATACTTCTAAAAACATTTCAGAAGAATTAACGAAAACTCTTAAAACTTGTTTAAATTGTCAAACGTAATTCTCAGGATTAGTGGCCAGACTGTTGACTGATTTATTTGGCAATTTTATTCACTTGTACGAATTGTAATCATCATACATCATTTGAAAACTAACTTGTCAACATAACAATCGACCGCCCTGTATGAATACTTTGTTTAACACACTAAGCTACTTGCTAATAACAAGTAGTATAATCCGTAAGAAAGTAAATGCAGTCCGGAGGAAATTATCCTATTTGCATGTAACCTATCCACAGTTTTGTAAAAAATCTTTATATCAGAAACCTTGTTAGTTATCGAATCCTCTATGGCAACATTTTATTTCATCAAAATAAGACAAGTGAATTACAATGGAACACCTGTGGAATTCAACCCTGTAGGGTGCGAAGCAGTTCCAACCGAAGACAATGGATGAGGTTGCGAAAGACCGTAGATTTTCTGAAGCTAGACATTAACACCATCGGGTGCCGGCTGAGTAGTCTAGAAGTTAAGCTTTCGCGCACGAGACCAGAAGTCCTCGGTTCGACTTCCACATACAGAGTCGCGGATGCTCACTACCACTGATGAGTCAGATATTAGGGTGAAACAGCAGTGTAGTGCTTCCACATTTCTAACGATGGCCTGTCAACTGATCGATTCACGGCATCAATGAACCTCGACAGTCTCCATTAATAACCCCGTAATGATAATTAGAAATACCTAAAAACTTATTCATCATCTGCATGTTTATCTGGCGTTAATAGCGCGAGGTTCGAATTTCACAGCAGGAAGTCAACTTCCACAATATTGAAAAGTGTTAACTTACACGTAACTTAAGAGACCATGATGCTTCTCGAGTGATGATTTATGACTAGTAGTTATTAACTGTCAGAATATTTGATAAATATCCTAAAGAAATTATTTTTTTAAGTCTAATTCTATTGGTCAATATTTAAGGTCGTCTTAAACTATCGAAAGTTCACATAATTTTAAATGTTCTTTCCTATTGGTTAGTTTTCACAGTCGACCTAACTGCATAAATATACATTGTCTGTAAAGTTTTGTACTCTACTTCTTCTCCTTCTGTACAAAACCTCATATTTTCTGGGTGCTTTTAAAATACACTTCCTATGCCATATCAAGACTTTTTGATACCGTTAGTGGCGGTCTTGGGACGCTCGGATTAGAGTAGTAGCCTAACATGTCATTGGATCATTTGTCTTAGCTCTCGTTTACTGGCTAAGGTGAACTGGTAATAGTTTCAAACGTATCAACTGACGAACATATCATTAAAATGATAACTGGAAAATATAATCCTCTATTATATAGTTTGTCATAGATAAATTTATAAACAAAATAACTGGTAGTTAATTGCAAGTTGTTTGGGTACAAGCCTGTGATGGATCACAAATTTTTTGCAGTTCAATCGTGAATAGTGATCTTGCTTTGATTAACCGGTTAATACTGTTGTTTCAATGTACAATATTACTCAAAATATTGATGTGAATAATGAATGTTTTTGGATGCAGCTGGACAATCTGGACTTTGTAGATAATCTGGCTCTTCTATCCCACACGTAACAATAAATGCAAGAGAAGACGACCAGTGTAACAGCAGCAGCCTCTGCAGCAGTAGGTCTCAACATACATAAAGGAAAAAGCGAAATTCTCCGATACAACACAACATGCACCAACCAAATCACGCTTGATGGAGATGCCTTGGAGAACATTAACACCTTTACATATCTGGGCAGCATCATCGACAATCGAGGTGGATCCGATGCAGATGTGAGAGCGCGGATCGGAAAAGCAAGGGCTGCATTTATACAAATGAAAAATATCTGGAACTCCAAACAAATATCAATCAACACCAAAATCAGGATTTTCAATACAAATGTCAAGACATTTCTACTGTATGGAGAGGAAACTTGGAGAACTATTAAAACCATCATCCACACGATACAAGTATTCATTAACAGGTGTCTACGCAAAATACTTCGGATTCGTTGGCCACACACCATCAGCAACAACCTACTGTGGGAGACAACAAACTAGATTCCAGTGGAGGAAGAAAAGCTGAAAGTGGATAGGAAACATGTTGCGGAAAGCATTTGACTGCATCACAAGACAAGTCGGAATCCAGAATCCTTAGGGTCAAAGTAAAAGAGGAATGCTAAGGATACACTATGTCGAGAAACGGAGAACAGAGATGAGAAGAGTGGACAAAAATTGGACAGAACTAGAAAGGCTGGCCTAGGACAGAGTAAGTTGGAGAATGCTAGTCGATGACCTACCTATGCTCCATTGGGGTTAACAGGTGTAAGTAACTATAATATGATCGATATATTACTGTAAATAAGATTTATACACTAAAACAGGACGGTACATTTTGGTTTCCATTGATATCCAAGGCAATGAGTTTAAGTTTGTGAGAAATTCAGTTTATGAATTAAACTAAACACCATTAATTAGCTTGTGGTTGTACTGTGCGCGAACGCCTAACCGTGAATTGATCAAGTTAGACATTAACACCGTTGGACGCCGGCCCAGTGGTCCGATGGTTAGGCGTTCGCACATAATACCGAAGGTTCTGTGTTCGATTCCTACAGGGTGCAGGAGTCGTGGATGCGCACTGCTGATGAGTCCCATACCAGGACGAAACGGTCGTCCAGTGCCTCCAGGTTTCTAATGGTGGTGTATGGTTGATCGATTCATGGTTTCAAAAATGTGTAACTTAATAATCTTCATAACCCCGTGATGCAAATTAAATTTATGTCCACATATTGATATAAGAGATGTTATGATGTTTGACTGCGAATTGATATTCACGTAAACAAAACTAAGGTCGACATCCATTTTGTTCGTAATTTTTTTAATATAGAGGACATATGAAGATTATTGACTTTCATTGAAATTATAAATCGATAGATTTTAAGACTGATACAGTCTACAAAAAACAACCAATCACGATCAAGATTTCCCAAATTTACCAGTCATCCCTCATACATGCGGAAATTCGACTACATCACTTCCCGACTGTTGCTGCTGTTGTTGTAGATGTCGTTCAAACGAAGAACAATGCTGAAAGCTTCACAACTCTATTGACTACATCCATTGAGCTTACATAGAACGGAACCTCTACCCATAACAGTAACCCTTGGAATCATATAACCAGACAGATACAACACAGAACTTCGTACATAAGTACATCAGTTCACGTTGCCATACCACAACAACATCAGCACAGAGACGTAACTGTCAGTTCAAATCCAATAGCGATAGCGATAGTAGAATTATTAGCACAGCAATGGAGAAGATTAGGGTTCGAAGATATGATTCGACAAGTATAATTTAGTGAGAAAAATTTAGAAATCATATAACCTCTCTAGTACTTTCAAAAGATCTGGGGAAAAATTATATAATGATAAAATAAATGTATTTTGCTTCGAAAGTCAGTCAGATGCAACGTAGAACTTCGTACGTAAGAACGTACATCAGTTCATGTTGCCATACCACATCAGCACAGAGAGATGTAATTGTCAATTCAAATCCAATAGTAGAAGAGGTAGTAAAGGTATTAGAAGTAATCGGAGAGGTTAGGATTAGAAGATATTATTCAAGAGGTATGATTCAGTGGGAAAAGTTTACAAAGTTGAAGAATCCAGAAGATTAGGATTTGAGAGAACACAAAGAATAAATGCACCGGCGCCATTGCAAACGATTTTAAACCATGTCATACATCCAGGGTCTCTAACCATCGATTATTATCATCTCGCGGACCCCAACCAGGTAGTCGACAATTACCGACATGACTAAGTCCACTAGTCAATGACTTCATGGATTTCTGCCATGTTTTGGTTTGGCCGCCCCTAACTTTCTTCCAACCTATTCCTACACTACAAAACAAAGCTCGACGAGGTAGTCGGTGGTTAGGCATACGCAACACATGTCCCAACCACCTCAAATGATGAAGTTTCATTACTTCATCTATTGATCTGCCATTCTTACCTATCACCCGTTTCCTAATAACAGCGTTGCTCACTCGGGTGTCCCAAGATGTAAGAGTAATTGCTTCGAAGACACCTATGATCGAAAACAAGTAACCCACGAATATCTTCTACTTTGACTGGCCATGTTTCACAGACATAGAGTAAGACGGAGCGAACTAGTGCACAGTACACTCGTCCTTTAGTCAGCAAACGGATATCTCGCCTACGCTATAAGTGATGCAGGTTGGCAAAAGCCAATCGAGCTTTCTGTATCCGAGCTGAGATTTCGTCAGTCACCAGGCATTTGCTTTGAAAATGAACAACTGGACAAACACACATGAACAGAATAACAAGCAGGACCTCACCCGACCAGACCCGCCTCACTTCATGTACACACACACGCACACCTGTATCCATAAGTAGTTAAAAAAACTAAATTCGTTTCAATTGTATTTGAATAATATCAAAGCATATATCATAATAATTATTATTATCATTATGGTCATCATATAAGTGAAGAAACAAGAGCGGATAACAATGTCACAAACTAGGTATGAAAGATAACAACTCATGGAGGCATTCATTGATTGTGATAGATTTACATAGTGAATAAGTATTTCCAGTTTTTAAATGAATAAATAACATTGTTGTTCTTGTACATATACGGATGAGGTCTTGTTTGTTTGTGAAATTGCAACAGTACACTCACACACGTACACACACACACGCATACTCATGTACACAAACAGAATAAGCAGAAGAACGGACAAACGAACGAACACTGTCGGAGCAAGCGAGCAAGCAAACGAGCAAACGAGAGAGAGAGAGTTCGCATTTAAGCATGACTTCTTGTGGTCGGTGTTGTCGTAGTTTCAGCGGATTTCATGTGTCGTTTGTCCATACGAGCTTTTTCACATTGACGTATAAAATAATTGAATACCAATAGGAAACTAATCAAATTAATAAAATCCGCGGAAATCAATAAATAGAAACTAGACAATGGTGGGGTAAGTAACACGGCGAAATCACTAGATAAATCGAAACGATCCGCAGTGTCTGTACCGCTACTCCGACTACTACCATGATCATTGTTATTGTTACTATTGACAACAGTGGTGTCACTGATACCTCCACCTCCACCAGTGTCAGCCAACATAGATTGATAGTTATTATTATTATTATTATTGTTACTACTATACAAGCCAGATCGATTAGGATATTTATTATCGATTCTTTGTAATAGACCATTTGAAACAAGTACATTAGTCAGCGCCAGATCACCATGATCATGTATATGTTCAATTTCCATTTCAGCTAAACATAAACCGATCAATATACAAGTGACTAGAGAAATAAAAGAGAAATAAACGGAAAGAAAAACAAAGTGATGGTGAAGAAAAGGAGACAGTTGGAATTCATATGAGATAAATATTTATTGGGCATGAAATAGTAGATTTACTCCGCTTGGAGCTGTTCTTGGGTTAGTGATAGTCGCAACCGCGGATAAGGGAGGAAGGGTTAGGCGACCAAATCCCGTAGGAATTCAACTCGCTGAAAAAACGCCTACCTGGTCAGTGCCCTATACTCCATTAGGAGGTAACAGACTAATATGCTTGAAACGATTATGGGTTCACCTTACTCGGTAAATGGAACGAAGATCAGCGATTCAGTGACACGATAGACTATTCTAATCCGATTGTCCCAGGCCCCACTAACTAGATCAAGTAGTTTTGATAAGACGTAGAGAGAATGTATTCCACAGGCACCTAGAAAATACGATGTTCACAAGCACACAAACCAAGCTTATTTATCCAATGATAAAACGTCCTTGGTGAGAGCCACAAAATAGCTCATCAACCAATGACAGTCAAGGATTTTCAGGGTAGAAAATGTAGGCTAAAGGTTGATTTCCTATTAAATGCCTTCTCAAATACATGTGTTACCAGATGTAAAACGTAAATATATCGAAACATTTTTCAGATCAATTACGTCTTTGCACTGTTCTATTAAAATTTTTAAAACGTACTAATTTTTTTAAACAGAAAAAAGTGTTTCGTCAGTGTATCCTAAAAGGTAAATACCAATTTAATTACAGTACATTTTGAAAAGAAAGTAAGTAAGTAAACTTAAGTGAAAGGATTATGATGAAGTTTGAACAAAAGTGGTCAGTGGATAAAGTAACTTTAAACAGAAATTTTCCAACAATGTTGAGAGGTTGTTATGCCTGCACATAAACACGTCAACTTGATATGCTTGAACTATTACAAGTTTACCTTAGTCGGAAAATGAGAGCGAGGATCGAGGATCCGGTGACACAATTGTTCCAACCACCCCCCATCGAGTTAAAATAAGAAGACGTGATATGGAGTAGGACCTGTGTTCTACAAGCATCCAGAAAGTACGAGGTCCGAATCCAGAAAAGAATCAGGATCCCGGACTATGGATCAGGGACCGAGCCCTGATCCTGGTCGTGGTCATAAAGTGTTACAGATAATGGGTGTTAATACATTTTGGTCGAATAGGAAACAGCATCGAAGTGTGTGACATTGATAGTTGAGACGACCAATAGGAAGCAACACTTGAAGTGACATTGATAGTCAAGACAACCAATGAGAAAGAACATCTGAAATGACATTGACAGTCCGGCTGACCAATAAGAGACAACATTGAAGTATTTGACTTTGACAGTTAAAACGACCATAATTTTGACCAATAGAAATCGACCAATAATTCTCTTAGGATATTGGATGAATATCCTAACAGAGGTGAACTGGCGAAGTATTTCAATATGATGCTGAATTGTTTTGTCTAAATGTTTCTTTGAACTTGGACTATTTAGCCAAATAATGATATCTGACTCAGTTCGGGGCACACGCAAACATATCGAATTTTTTCACCATTCTTCTGTAATGCTCATCAATCGATATGTTTGAAACTATTACGCGTTCACCTTAGGTCGGTAAACGAGAGCGAAGACAAATGATCCAGTGACATAATAGGCTACTCTAATACGAGTGTCCCAATGCCCCACTAAATAGAAGTAGTCTTGATAAGACGTAGGAAGTGTATTTCACAAGCATTCAGAATATATGCGGTTGACAAGCACACAAATCGAGTTTATTTATACATCATAGAAACGACCTTAGGAGAGCCACAAAATAGCACACTAAAATAATCCATGAGTCAATGACAGTCAAGGACTATGCAAGTGGGAAATATAATCTCAAGGTCAACTGATCAGCCAATGAATAAAATCCAAAAATCTAGCGAGAAGTAGTGACCAGTGGAGTTCAGCGCTGTCGATTTTAGACAATAAGTGAATCTTGGATTGATTAAAGTTAGAAAAATAACATAGTTGGATGCCAACTCAGTGGTCTAGAAGTCAGGCGTCTGCTCACAAGACCGAAGGTCTTAGGTTCGATTCTCGCAAGCGGGAGTCATGGATGTGCACTGCCACTACTGATGAATCCAATGCTACAGCGAAACAACCGTCCAATGCTTTCATATTTCTAATGCAGATCTAACAACAACAAAGATCGATCGATCGATCGATTCATGGTTTCGATAACAATGATCGGAAAAACTTTTACAACAGAAAGTGAGGGAGAGAGAGAAGTTATCAAACAAAATTTTTTTCATCTTACTTACCAGACATTAAAACGAACATAGCTTCAGTTAATATAGTTGACCAATTATGATCTACATGAAAATAGGCAATGATCACATGAATGATACAAGCAATAATTGCAGTAAATAAACCAATCAAAGTCAATCCTCTAGCCAATATCCAACGAAAATCTAAACATTATAAAGGCATAAGGAAAAAAAATATTGATCATAACGATAATAATAATAATAATAATACTGAAAGAGAGTTACCTACCTACGGTGTGAATGTTTATGCATCAGTTCACCGCTATGTAGTACATACATACCCATCTATCCACACACAATGACTGTTATGACTTGTCACTAGTTGATATGCTTGGAACTATTACGAGTTCATCATAGTCGGTAAACGAGATCTAAGACAAATGATCCAAAGACATGATAGGCTACTCTAATCCGAGTGTCCCATTCCCTCCACTAACGATATCGAAAAGTCTACAAGCACCCAAAAAATACGAGGTTTTGTACAGAAGAAGAATAAAGAGCATAAAAACGTTAGCGACAGTGCATACTGATACAGTTAGGTCGACCGTGAATACTAACCAATAGGAAAGAACATTTAAAAGTATGTGAACTTGATAGTTTAAAACGACCTTGAATATTGACCAATAGGAATTGAGGGATAGAATTAGACTTACAAAATAATTCGATGCTGTTTCCTAGTCGACCAAAATGTATAAATACGCATTATCTGTAATGTTTTATGACCAGGACCTGGTCCAGGATCCCTAGTCCGGGATCCTGATTCTCTCCTGCACTCGGACCTAGTACTTTCTGGATGCTTGTAGAATACAGGTTCTACTTCATATCAAGTCTTGTCTTCTTGTCTTTGTCAAATATGGGGTTTGGGATAATCGGATTTGAGAAGTATGTCGTGTCGCCGGATCCTCGATCCTCGCTCTCGTTTTCCGACCTACCTATGGTGTAAATGTGTATGCATCAATTCACCACTATCTGGTACATACATGCCCATCTATCCACACACACACACTGACTGTTATAACTCGTCACTAGTTGATATGCTTGAATGCTATTACGAGTTCACCTTAGTCGGTAAACGAGATCTAAGACAAATGATCGATTGTGTTGTAACGCTACGCTTAAATAATTCCCAGCTAAATCCTATTGCTTAGTAGTATTCTCTGACCACACAATACACTGGACAAGTTCCAAAGAATCAAAAACATGGTTGAACAGGAAAAAGATTATATTCCAAATAGCAAGGTTAAATGGAAATAAGAAGCCGAAGGCAAAGAAGGCAATAATAGATACAACGTTAGTTTCTATATAGTATTTACATGAGAAGCTTCTGGATTGTAATTTACGTGATCGACTGGATTAGATTTAGTCAATCAGCGTGCAGGTAACAACACGAGAATCTTCTACCCTGTTCTCTAAGAATCGATCAGGATAGGAAATTAGCCAATCAGCGCGCAGCAACGTAGTCAGGTCTTAATTTCAACTATGTCCCACTAACACATTGACACAATAGGTTACTCTAATCCGAGTGTCCCAAGATCCCCACTAACGGTATCAAAAAGTCTTGATATGTCGTAGAAAGTGTATTCTACTAGTACCCAGAAAATATGAGGTTTTGTACAGAAGAAGAAGAGGAGCATACAGACAATGCATATTTATACAGTTAGGTCAACCGTGAATACTAACCAATAGGAAAGAACATTTAAAAGTATGTGAAATTGTTAGTTTAGGACGACCTTGAATATTGACTAATAGGAATTGACCAATAGAATGAGACTTGCAAAATAATTTCTTTAGGATATTTGATGAATATATTAACACTGACACAAACAGACAGACACACCCACACACACCTCAGAACAGCACAGAAATATGAGGTTGATCGACTTTATGATTCAACCCTGAAATTCGCTAGCCCAAGGTAGCGCTATACTACATACAACATTAGCCATCGTTTTATGTGGAAATGAACAAGAAAGTCAAGACCAAATGAACTAATCTTCTATTTATTGTGGAGAGAGAAAATACAGTTTTGTTATACTGGTCTCTAGGTATGCTGCTTAAAACTAATAAGGGTTCACCTTAGTCGAATAACGAGAACAAAACAATGAACCAGCATCCAGGTAGGCTACTCTGATCCGATTGTCTCAATTGTACAAGCAAGAAGTCTTGATATAGCGTAGAAGGTGAATTTTACAAACACTCAGCCAGCACACAAATCGCGTTTATTTATACACCATAGAGACGTCCTTGGGACAGTCACACAATTAGCACACTAAAATGACACAGTAACCAATCAAAGCCAAGGATTTTCCTGGTGGGAAATGAAATCTCAAGGTCAAGCGATCGGCCCATGAAATAGATCAAGCGAGTTCTGGGGATCTAACATCCTCAACAAGTTTACTATTCACAAACAATATACACCTAATCTGGACAATATTCATTGACACACAATACAAACCGATTGGTGTAGTGATGTGTTTTCGGTGTTCTTCAAAATAAATACAACTAGTTGATTGAGTTCATATTTAGATTAATTAAATAATTCGTACGTGATTGTGGAAACCTAGTACAATTGGTGTAGCAGCTGTTGCGTCAATCAAATAGAAGAAGTATTTGAACAAAATGAAATTTAATATTTTCCTCAAGTCCACAAACAACATGAGATGTAATCATTAGATTGATGTCAAGGTTAACCATTAACACTGTTGAATGCCACTGGCTCAATGGTCCAGAGGCGAAGAGCTCGCGAGCAAGACTGAAGGTCCTTGGTTCTCGCCATACGAGTAGCAGGAGTCGTGAATGTGAATTGCGGATGAGTGAGTCCCAAATACCAGGACAGATTGGTCGTCTTTCAGGGCTTCTAGGTTGATCGTCTTACAATGATTCATTTATGATTTCAACGAGATGTAATTCCCTATTTATTAGAGTTTTCCATGTCTTCTGGTCTTCAAGACACTTTCATCGCGCCATGAATCATTCCGATCGGACACCTCTCTCTACGGTAGTGAAACTCTGCTATGACATGACACTTTCCTCACCGGTAGTGACACTGCGATGCATACTACTTATAAACCATCACAGTAGCAATAATAATGAGACTAATCAATAGGGAATTTAGTTTGAGAAAACTGAATAGAAAGGTATGTATAGAATAATTTTGTTATTAAAGATTTAGTGAACAGTGAAAAAGGATGTAACCCGACATCTTCGATTACTGATCGTGCTTATCGCGCAGACTCCTCGAACCACATAGTCTACGCCGACAAAAAAGATTTATGATTGTATGAAATGAACAGAAACACAATTTTGTTAACCATAAAGAAACCAACAAAATCAAAGCGTCTAATAAGAGAGCTAAGTCAGTGAATTTAGTCAGTCACTCAGTTGAAACGTAGGACTTCAGGTTCAGTTCAGGTTGCAATACCACATTAGCACAGAGACACAACTGTCAGTTCCAATCCCATAGTGGTAGATGTAGTAGAAGTATTAGCGGTAATAGAGAATATTAGGGTTCGAAGATATTATTCAAGAAGAATAATTCAATGAAATAAATTTCAAAAGAAAAATATAAAGGTCATGAGGAATTCAGAAGACTGGAGTTTGAAGGAAAAGACAAAGTATGAATGCACCTGCACCATTGCAAACGATCTCGAGCCCTGTCGTTCAAGGTCACTAACCATCAATTGCGATCATCTCACGGACCCCAACCAAGTAGTCTACATTTACCAACATGACTCAGTCCACTTATCAGTGATTTCATGGATATGTGCCGTGTTTTGTTTTAGCCTACCCTAGCTATCTTCCAATCTACTCCTTCACCACAAAACATAGCTCTTCGAGGTAGTCGGGGGTTCTAAATTCGTAACACATGTCCCAACCACCTCAACTGATGAAGTTTCACGAACATGCATTTCAGCCTAATATGTTACTGCTTGGATGTTGTCAGACTCCCGAGTCGTATTCTCACAGAAGTCGTAGGTGTTAACTACAGAGCAAGCAGTTTCATACTACGGATGAAACAGTTACACGGTGGGTGCTCCTTAACTGTCTGTGCTAATTAGTTTTTTTTCACAGTTAAACAAATTAACCATGTATTGTCAAGGGTAATTTTACATTGGGTTTTTAGGATAACCAAGGAGACTCTTTCCACGTGTTATCATTTCCCACATGAACAATTTGGCTCAATCCCGTGGTTCAACCACCACACAGATACCTGATTCCCTGGTGGACCATTCACACCATTTATATATACACTAGTACATATATATAGTGATTATTTCCGACCCATGATCGCGTCGCAGTCAATATGCACCTCATGAACATGCCATTTCGACCCATCCCGCTTATATAACTGTCAAACTCATTATTATAAGCAATGGTGCAATGCAATAAAGCAACCCAATTACAACGGCCCTTGGAAATGTTGCGAAACCACTATGGTGCGCGCTACTTATAAGTAGTATATGACGCGAGTGTCAACGTAATGTCTGACAGCAGAAGATGGGGGAAGATCAACAAGAAAGGAAGAGTGGGAACACAATATGGAATATGTATGAAACGCATGAATAGTGAAATGTCAGACAATGGATTGATGTTTTGCAAATTAACGGTTTACGATATAGTTTTCCTATTTTACCAATGAACTCTGTAATTTTCGATAAATACAATTCGGTTGCCCTCACCTGTGTTCTCCTTCACTACACTACCACCACTAGTATCAATGAAATCGGTCGCCCTACTAACCAATTTTTTATACATGGACTGTTAGTGATGCTTACCAAAGCGATGCCAAACCATCCACAATGTTCATCACAACGAACCACTGGTCTCATAGGAAACCTTCAGCTCTATATATAGCAGCAAAGCAGCATGATAATTAGTACCTTACTGAATCAATCAACCTGTGATCAATACTACTTCATAAATTAAAAACAATCCTCTCTATAAAAGCCCCCATTGAATGAAAACTGTTCGTGGATAATTAATAAATTTTTGAAATCCATTCAATACTCATCAATTTTTAATTAAAAACAGGAAAGTAATCAATAAGCTGTATTGTAACGCTTGCTTGAATAATTTCCAGCTAAATCCTATTGCTTAGTAGTATTCTCTGACCACAAACAATACACTGGACAAGTTCCAAAGAATCAAAAACATGGTTGAACAGGAAAAAGATTATATTCCAAATGGCAAGGTCAAATACAAATAAGGGGCCGAAGGCGAAGGCAATAATAGATACGACGTTAGATTCTTTATAGCATTTACATGAGAAGCTTCTGGATAGTAGT